CTTAAGCAAGGTCGAAATCGCGATCACGGAGTGCTTTATACACACCCACACCCACACCCACACCCACCCACACCCACACCCACCCCACACCCACACCCACCCCACCCTTTTGCATTTGATTAGAAGAATCATTTTTTCTCTTACATAGTAGAGCTAATTCAAGCTTTGTTTGAATATCTTTTGGACATAGCTTTAAATGACCTTCACTTCCCACGAATAAACGTGTACTAGCTTTTAAATAATGATTCCAGAGAGATTTTTCCAAGTCGAGTACATGTAATTTATAAATAAGAATGGCAATGGATCGTAGTTTTTCTATTGTGATAAAACTTGCCCTACGAGAGATTTTTTGTTGAACCATTCGTTCAAATCTGTTATAAATTAATGATGTTAAATAAATAGGAACCTATCACAGAAAAAGAGAAATTTAAATTTAAATTAAAATAAATATGGAAACATGGGATTGAAATCCGAGTGTTATGTGTACTACAAAAAGTACATCTGACGACAGATTACCTTTAATCAATTTGTCTAATATAGTTCATCCTTGAGCGCACTAAGGAACTGCCCCTTAGGCCCTGCGGATGCTCTCCTTTTGTCCCATAGGACGCGGCGAGGAGTTAGTTCCGAAGGCTTTATTCATTTACATAAATGAAAACTTCTTCGCTTTAACTGAGTCGCTGTTCTTTTTATACACTCATGTTAATTAAGTCAGAGTGTGGTACAAATTGTTGAGGATTATTCCGAAAAGGTAAAAGAGCATCATTATGAATACCATTATAGTAAACACAAAATCCGAGTTTATTCATATCGGATTTATATCCTATATATTTTAGGTGACCACCTGCTGTCCCTTGATTAAATCAATCGACTAGTTCTTGTAAACTTATGTTCGATGGAATATAATGTCCAATTTTTGGAACGCTAATAAACTGAATATATGAATAGATAGGACGAGATAGAGCCATGGAAAGCGCCTGAATTTGAACTTCTCCACCCCATTTTGTATTCATAGCAGTTTTTTTCAACTGTTCCTCAAATGAATACCACAATACTGTACAAAGTCTTTGAAAATAATCGCTATTATTGAGCATTGCATTGACTGCCAACAATCTCATTGAATGTGTTAGTTTTTCAGATCCAATATTTAATATCGAAAGAGAACTATATAAACAATTGCCAAATCGTTTCTAATAGTCGTCCGTCTAATGAGATAGTTGGCTGTAAAGTGTAACTGTGAGTTGTAGCATTTTTCGACTGCACAGCTGCGAAAGTTCTTTTCTCACCAACGAACGATATAGTACGATTGGAGTGTAATTCTTTTTGGACACCTGTTTGATCTGTATTAAAAGTTTCAGATAGTTTAAAGTGAGATGACACTTTATTAAACTCCCAAATAAAATCTCGTTTTCACTTTTCTATAATTTCCCGGTTTTCGACTTGATGATGTGAAACAAAGTTTGTAATTTTCAGAGAAGTTAATCTATGACGATTTTTGAAATTCTTCAACCAACCATGCGAAGCATGAAAATCGTCGATCTTTATTTCTTTGGCTATTTTTAAACCCCATCGCTGAATATCCAAATCATGAACAACGAGATTCTTTTGTCTTGCATCAACTAACTTCTTATAAACTAAAGTGTCCAGATCTTAAGTCTTCTGTCGCTTTGTTCCATGATGCTCCAAATATTTTCGAAAACGTGGAATATAATTTTTGTCTGGGATTGTTCGAAATCGGTGATGAATGGCTTTCCAGGATCTGTCATGTCTACTTTCCGGACTTGCATGATCAACAAAATCGATAACTTAACGCACAAAGTCTTCTGAAAAGCTTCTTGAATTATATTTTTCAAAAACTAATTCTTTGTCTGTCCAATCTTCATCCATTTCTTCACTTTCTTTCTCGCTCAGCACGGATTCTTCCTCCTTCTCACTAGGGGTGGCAGAGTTACTTTACTTTACCAGTAACGTAGTAACTACAAAGTTACTGAGTTACTAGTTACTAGTAACGCAGTAACTCAATGTAAAAAATAAGTGTAGAATAATAAACCCTCCAAAAGGGTTTTTTAACCTCATAAACCCTCTCACATACTCTTTTAGTATGATGAACCCTGTCTTAAACTCTTTTTCTTCATCAACCCTGAGAAGGGTATGTTATACGTTGCACTTTCACAAACTCCTCAGGGTATATGAGCAGTAATATACCCTTAAAGGGTTTTTTAACTTCATAAACCCTACGAAAAATGGTTTAATAATATACCATTGGTAAGAAACCGTAGAATAAAAGACTCTTTTTCGAAGGGTTTATGAAGTTAAAAAACCCTTTAAGGGTATATTACTGCTCATATACCCTGAGGAGTTTATGAAAGTGCAACGTATAACATACCCTTCCCAGGGTTGATGAAGAAAAAGAGTTTAAGACAGGGTTCATCATACTAAAAGAGTATGTGAGAGGGTTTATGAGGTTAAAAAACCCTTTTGGAGGGTTTATTATTCTACACTTATTTTTTACAGCGACGTCTAGCCGATTTTTAATTCCAAATTTACCTGATGATGACCCCTTAAGCAAGGATCGAAACGATCGTCGTAAGTAGCTTGGAATTATCTTATATCATACACACCATTTAAAAGAATAGCTACGACATCATAGGATTTATATATATCTTGTCATTTGATTGTTAGTTGGGAGTTTCGACTCTTATTTACATTCTTATGAATTTAAGATTATTATCCTTATGTAGCTTCATATTAATTCCAAATTTACCTGACGAGTCCCTTAAGCAAGGATGAAACGCGTCGTAAGTAGCTTGGAATTATCTTATATTATACACACCCACACCCACCCACACCCTCAAGAGTTATCAAGGTGAAAGAGATTACATCAGAAGAGATATCTAAATAAAAGAAAGAACGAGATATCACGATATACGTCTAGATGAAAGAGATGTTCGTCGAGGTTAAACTAAGAAGTATCGAACGAAGTAAAATGTATTAGAGAAAGATATCACTATGTAACACCAGATTATTTTGATATGTATAGTGATAATATGATTGCACAGTATTAGTATATTGTCCTCGATCATATAGATTTGTTCTTATTGATCTTGTCTTCGATTTTTCTCGTTTCACTGTAAGCGAACATATGTATTATTTATTCGCTATTCTTTCTTTTCTTCACATATATCGATCTATCTGGTATTTTCCTCCTTTTCTTCATATATGATCACATGGGATTTTATCCTTCTCTCTCACATATATGTTCATATGGTATTTTTTCTTTCTTTATCTTAACTCATTCCTCTTTTGTTCTTTTAACCTACATTGAAATTTCCACGTGATGAATAAAAGGACATCACTTAAATATTTTTCCTAGATTTTATTGTATTACAAGAAATGGGAATAATCCTAAGTAACCATTTCTTGTCCTATAAATAGTCGCGTATTATTCTTAAATAAACGAATTGCTATTAAGCTTCCAAAACTATCATCTTATATAAGTTACACTGTATCATTCACTTCTAATGTATTGAAATGTTTTCACTGTCTCAAATATGGGCTCTCTTTTCGGCTTGATCGATTAGTTTGATATAGCATTTGACTGAAAAAGCTCAGAATACTATAATATACGCTTCAACGTCAGCCTTCCATCAATAAATCGCAATACTATGAAATGCTATCGAGTTGCATCTTATTCCACATATGCGTTTAAAAACTATTCCTGATAGATCAAAAAAAATCGGGTTTAAACGGGACCGGGACGGGTTTCCCGGTTAGAAAGCGGAACCAAATCGGGATCGGGACGAAAAAAACCGGTCCCGCAGGACCCTACACCCACACCCACACCCGTTTATATAGGACCAAACTATATCAGACCGAATCAAAGTTA